GGGTGCTGGGCTCAGCACAACCCCAGGGACCAGGATGGAGACCCTGGGTGCAGGCAGGGACCGCAGGGCCATGTCACAGGGGGTGGGGGACAGCGTCCAAACCCAGGGAGGGACATCGCAGCACAAAGACACCAGAGCCAGGTGGTAAGACAGGGAATGCTTTTTATTCAGACCCACAGGAAAGGACGGGTGGGTCCGTAACAGACTTTTCCATTGAAGCACAGACCATTGAACAGGACAGACCGCGGCGCACACACTGCTACAGACCCACAGAGGGGTCTTCAACTAGGTTATGTTCCCTGTAAGAGCAGCACCCTTGTGAGAGTTTAGTATTCCTCCCCTTCCTCCTCTCCCTCCCCTTCCACCGAATCCACCCCCACCTCCTCGTAATCCTTCTCCAGGGCAGCCATGTCCTCCCGGGCCTCCGAGAACTCCCCCTCCTCCATGCCCTCCCCCACGTACCAGTGCACGAACGCCCGCTTGGCGTACATCAGGTCAAACTTGTGGTCCAGGCGGGCCCAGGCCTCGGCGATGGCCGTGGTGTTGCTCAGCATGCACACCGCGCGCTGCACCTTGGCCAGGTCCCCCCCGGGCACCACCGTGGGAGGCTGGTAATTGATGCCCACCTTGAAACCGGTGGGGCACCAGTCCACGAACTGGATGCTACGCTTGGTCTTGATGGTGGCGATGGCGGCGTTGACATCCTTGGGCACCACGTCCCCGCGGTACAGCAGGCAGCATGCCATGTACTTGCCGTGCCGCGGGTCGCACTTTACCATCTGGTTGGCCGGCTCGAAGCAGGCGTTGGTGATCTCCGCCACCGAGAGCTGCTCATGGTAAGCCTTCTCGGCCGAGATGACGGGGGCGTAGGTGGCCAGCGGGAAGTGGATGCGGGGGTACGGCACCAGGTTGGTCTGGAACTCCGTCAGGTCGACATTCAGGGCCCCATCGAAGCGGAGAGAGGCCGTGATGGAGGACACAATCTGGCTGATAAGGCGGTTGAGGTTGGTGTAGGTGGGCCTCTCGATGTCCAGGTTGCGGCGGCAGATGTCGTAGATGGCCTCGTTGTCCACCATGAAGGCACAGTCGGAGTGCTCCAGGGTGGTGTGGGTGGTGAGGATGGAGTTGTAGGGCTCCACCACGGCCGTGGAGACCTGCGGGGCCGGGTAGATGGAGAACTCCAGCTTGGACTTCTTGCCATAGTCGACAGAGAGGCGTTCCATGAGCAGGGAGGTGAAGCCGGAGCCAGTGCCGCCCCCGAAGCTGTGGAAGACCAGGAAGCCCTGCAGCCCTGTGCACTGGTCAGCCTGGTGAGGAGAGACAAGGAGGGGGGGCATGTTTAGTTGGGCAGCAGCAGAAGTTGCTCCTTCCTCTCTGTGGCCTCACGAGGGCATTTGGGGGGATTTCCAGCAGCAGAGCAGGAACCATCGGGATGGGTGACAGGGTGGCCCTGACCCTGTCTGTTGGACACTGACTCACGGGAGTGGTGAATCCCCCAGGGAAG